ATGGTATTGAGACTGAAGCTGTCATTTGGCTTCATGTCTCTTATTGCTGTGTACGCTCCTACGGATGTATATAAACTTGAGGTGAAAGAGATGTTCTACGCCAAACTTGCATCTGTGGCAGACAGTTGTCCTCGGCGAGATATTCGTATTGTTTTGGGCGACTTCAATGCGGTATCCGGATGTGATCGAGCTGGCTACGAGATGTCTGTCGGTCCCCATGGCTCAGGAGCTGATGCTGGCAGCGAGAATAGCCTCCTTTTCCGTGACTTTGCTAGGTCCCAGAAATTGAGGATCTCTGGCTCCTGGTATCAGCGTTCTGACCCGCATCGCTGGACTTGGTACAGCGATACGGGTAGGGTGGCCAAGGAGATCGACCACATCCTCGTCAGCACTCGGTGGAGGATCCTCCAGAACTGCAGGGTGTATCGAAGCGCCGAGTTCTGTGGAACTGATCATAGATTAGTTGTGGCTACTCTCCGGGTCCACTTTAAAACCCCCCGTCGACCAAATGAGCACCCCAGGGTGTTTCATCTGGACAGACTGAGGGAGGATGAGTGTGCCCGGGGATTTGCTGAGGCTATCTCTGGTCGGTTCACAGCACTCGAGGGCCTGACAGACCCTGTTGTTATGTGGGATTCCTTCAAGCGTGAAACGCTTGATGCAGCTCAGGAATCCATTGGTGTACGCCCTAGAGCAAGACAGAATACCATCTCGCAGGAGACACTGGAAGCCACAGAAGCTTGCCGTGCAGCTCGATTGTCAGGGGATCGCAATTTGCACCGTTCTCTGGCGCGCAGGACTAGGTCACTGCTGAGAAGGGATAAGGAACAGTTTATCAGTAATCTTGCAGAGGAGGTCGAAAGCCGTTTCCTAGTAAATGACCTTCGTCCTGCCTACCAAGCTCTGAGAAAGCTGAACTCCAAGCCCTCCTCACAGACGACGGCAGTCCGCTCAGCGAGTGGTCAGGTAATCTCAGATCCTGATGGGGTGCGTGTGCGTTGGGCTGAGTATTTTGAGCAGTTGTATCAGGTTGATCCACCAACAGTTAACTTGGATGCTGGGAATGTTGAGACTCCTCTGCCAGACCCACCCATCAGCGAGGATCCACCTTCCCTGACTGAAGTCAGGGGGGCGATCTCCAAGCTGAAGAGTGGTAAAGCAGCAGGTGTCTGCGGCATCCCAGCTGAATTGTTAAAGGCTGGTGGAGAACCTATGGCAAGGGGCTTGCATGCAGTCCTGTCTGCCATTTGGCAGACCGGTACCATTCCCCCTGACCTACTGAGGGGTATGGTCATCCCTCTCTGGAAGGGGAAAGGGGATCGGTGGGACTGCAGCAATCACCGAGGCATTACACTGCTCAGTGTGCCAGGCAAGGTACTCGCCCACATCTTACTGAGACGTATCAGAGACCACCTCCTGAGGCACCAAAGACCGGAGCAATCTGGATTCACTCCTGGTAAGTCCACAATAGACCGCATCCTGGCGCTTCGAGTCATTGTAGAGCGCCGTCGTGAGTTCGGACGTGGGCTGCTTGCAGCCTACATCGACCTCAAGAAGGCGTTTGACACGGTGCATCGCGAATCACTCTGGGAGATCCTGAGACTGAGAGGAATTCCATCAAGGATTGTTGGGCTAATAGCAAACTTGTATACAGGCACTGAAAGTGCTGTAAAGTGTGGTGGGGGCCTGTCGAGCTTCTTTCCTGTTAGCTCAGGCGTGAGGCAAGGCTGTGTCCTTGCACCAACACTTTTCAACACTTGCATGGATTGGATACTGGGTAGAGCTACTGTCCAAAGTCACTGTGGAGCAACTCTGGGCAATATCAAGGTTACAGACCTTGACTTTGCTGATGATGTTGCCATTCTTTCTGAATCTCTGGGAACCCTAGTGGCGGCTCTTGATGCATTTAGCAATGAAGCGAAGCCCCTGGGGCTAGAGGTCTCCTGGACCAAGACCAAGATCCAGGATTTTGGGGGCCTACTAGGAGACCCTGTGCAGTCGGTCCGTGCTTGCGGTGAAAACATCGAAGTCACTAGGAGTTTTATATACCTCGGTAGTGCAGTTCATGACTCTGGGCTGTCAGACCAGGAAGTCAGTAGACGGATTGGCCTGGCAGCAGGGGTCATGAAATCTCTCGACAAGAGTATTTGGAGATGCCGGTACCTGTGCAGAAGGACCAAGCTACGAGTTTTCAAGGCCCTGATACTGCCAGTTTTACTATATGGTAGTGAAACTTGGACGCTATCTTGTGCTTTGGAATCTCGTCTCGATGCCTTTTGTAACAGATCCCTGCGCCGGATCATGGGGTACAGTTGGCGGGACCATGTATCCAACCAACAGCTACACCGTGAGACCGGTACAGGACCTGTTACTTGCACAATCCGTGATCGCCAACTCAGGCTATATGGCCACTTGGCTCGACTCCCGCAGGATGATCCTGCCCATCAGGTTGTCTCTGTTCGAGACAACCCTGGGTGGAGGAGGCCTGTGGGACGACCAAGAAGGTCATGGCTTGGGCAGATCGATCAAACCTGTTGTGAGGAACTAGAGATGGGCCGGGCCCCTGCCTGGCGGCTCGCCATGAGAGACCCTCGCAGGTGGAAACGAAGGGTGGACGCGGCTATGCGCCCCTACCGGCGTTAGCCCCCCAATGATGATGATGATGATGATATCAGGTTAAGTTACATTTAAATTAGATAGATTAGGTTAGATAAGGTTTAGGATAGAAAAGTTTAGTTAGGGTAGAATCTTAGGGTTAGTTTAGGTTAAATTAGGTTCGGTTAGTTAGGTTAGGTTTAAATTAGATTATGGATAGATAAGTTAGGTTAGATCAGGTTTAGATTGGGTTAGATATTGTTTAGATTTCGTTAGGTTAGGTGTAGATTAGGTTAGGTTAAGTCATGGGTAGTTCAGGCTGTGTTTAGAATAGTTAGGTTAGAATTGATAAGTTTGAAACGTTAAGTTAGAGTTAAATCGTTATTTTAGGCTAGGTATAGGATGGGTTAGGTTAGGTTTAGCTTAGGCTAGATATGGGCTAGATTATTTCAGGTTTACAAATGTTAAATTACGGTAAAATCGTTATTTTAGGTTAAGTTAGGTTAGATAGCTTGGGCTAGGTCAGGTTTAGGTTAGATTAGATATGGCTTAACTCAGTTTATGCTACATTTAGGTTAGAGTGATTAGCTTAGAATTGTAAGGTTAGAAATCGTTATTTTAGGTTGAGTAAATGTTGGTTTAGGTTAAATTTAAGTTACGCTTAGGATAGGATGGTTAGAATAGATTAAAATCGTAAGGTTAGATTTTGTTAGAATCGTAAGGTTAGATTAGAATCGTTACTTTAGGTAGATAGGTTCTGAGTTAGGTTTGCGAAGATTTACGGAAGGTTAGGTTGGGATAGGTATAAGGAAACAAAAGACATCTAGCAGTATTCGTTTTAGGACTTTTGGAAAATACACTCTGGGTATGAGGTTAGATATAAGGAAACACTAAACATTTAGAAATTTGGATTTTTAATTCTTCGGAAATGAATTTTGTTTAGGGTCGTCATAAACATAAACTTTTTTTTTTTTTTAGTTTATAGAGTGGGTTATCTGTAATTTAACGAGACATACTCACCCAAAAGACACGATCAGTAATTACATGTTATCATTCTAGACTATTTTCCAATCAACTTGATCATTGATTACACTTTTTATAATCGGACACTGTGTTTTTTTATGATGACTACATTATACACTTTCTGCTTATGTTTCTTTCTCCCCCCCAAAAAAAGAAAACAAAGTGTTAACCAAATATTATTGACAATAAGTATTAAGCCACCTAACCTACCCTACCCTAAGCTAACAATTAAAACCTAATCTAACCATACCTAAGCAAACCTAACTTATTCTAATTAAATCTTCTGACGATGATATAATCGAAACCAGTCAAATACATCTCTTGTATTGTGAAGATATTCATTCTCATTCATACCATTTCTACATTAATCTAATGAATATAATCTAACCAAACCCAACCTAATTTACCATAACATAATCTAAGCGAACCTTAACTTAAACAAAACTGAAACATGACATGGCATAACCTAAACCAAACTATAAAATATAAACTAACCTAAACTAGCAATCCTAACCTAAACTAATGCAATAAACCTAACCAAGCCGAAATCTAACAGAACCTAACCCAACAGAACCCAACTTAATCTAACTTATCCAACCTCTCCGACCTACCCTAACCCAACCGGATATAAGCCTAATCTTTATACATTTAATTGTCAATTAGCATACATTTCCATTTTGTTATGTTAGGTTAGGTTTGCTTAGATTAGGGTAAGTTAGCTTACCTATATATATATATACATATATGTATATATATATATTGATATATATATAATTCGCATATTTATAAATATATACATTCATTCATACACACACACACACACACATATATATATATATATATATATATATATATACATATGTATATACATATACATGTATATGTGTATATATATTTATGTATATATATATATATAAATATATATATATATATATATATATATATATATAAATATATATATATATATATATATATATATATATATATATATATATATATATACATACACACACACACACATACATATATATATATATATACATATATATACATATATATACATATATACATATATATGTATGAATGTGTATACATATATGTATATATATATATTTACGTATATATATGTATATATATACATACGTATATATATGATATATAAACATATACATATTAATATACACACATACACACACACACACATATATATATGTATATATATATATATATATATATATGTATATATATGTGCGTGTGTGTGTGTGTGTGCGTGTATAGATAGATAGATAGATATGTATATATGTATACATATATGTAAATATATACATATATAGAAATATATATCTACATAGAAATAGATATAGCCATGAAAGTGTGTCGTTTTTTTCCGTTTAATCAATAAAAGAAAACATTTCATGCATTATTTTATATGGAATGCATGAATTTCCTTCTCATTATAAGAAATAGAAGCCTTTTTTTCCCATACTAATTGCCATATTGAGGAGGCGGAGGAGCCGCTTTCTCGAATGCCATGACCAGTAGTGGTCTGTTCAGCAATAACATACGTGAGTTTACCAGAACAAAACAATCATAGAGAATTAAATACAGGGCATAACGCATAAAAGTTTATTATTCTCGAAAGAACTCTGTCAAAAATGTTATTCATAGCGTAATTCAGAAGAAGATTCTATAAAATATGGGGTAATTCTTTCCCAATAGTATCAAGAAGTTTGATCCTTTTCGATAAACTATACCGTCACGTGTTCCCCAAGAAATGTCTTTTGGTTAATATGTGTTGCACTAGATCATACGGCTTATCCTTAGTGCTTATCCTCTCTAATGGCTCGATAGACTAGTTATAGATTTTACAACTGTAGCATATCACACAACAGTATGGCTCCTCCTTTCTATGCAATATCATATAGTTCACTAGGCTATTTTCAAGTGAGGCTTTATTGTAAATGTTACAGCAGTAAGGTTACTCCCTGTATTGCAATATCACGTACTCTTGTATGTCTAACTAGATAATTTATTCGTGAAAAGCCTTGTTGCAAATTTCATAACTTAAAGACTTCTCCTTTGTATGTACTCTCATGTGCTCTACTGGAATACCTTTCTGAGGGAAGGCCTTGCTACAAATCTCACAGCTGAATGGCTTCTCCTTTATATGTACTCTCATGTGCCTTACTAGAGTACCTTTCTCAGAGAAGGTCTTGTTGCAAATCTCACAGCTGAATGGCTTCTCCTTTGTATGTACTCTCATGTGCTTTACTAGATGACCTTTCTCAGAGAAGGCCTTGTTGCAAATCTCACAGCTATATGGCTTCTCTTTTGTATGTATACTCATGTGCCTTACTAGATGACCTTTCTCAGAGAAGGCTTTGCTGCAAATCCCACAGCTGAATGGCTTCTCCTTTGTATGTATTCTCATGTGCTTTACTAGATGACCTTTCTGAGAGAAGGCCTTGTTGCAAATCTCACAGCTGAATGGCTTCTCCTTTGTATGTACTCTCATGTGCTCTACTAGAGTACCCTTCAGAGAGAAGGCCTTGCTGCAAATCTCACAGCTGAATGGCTTCTCCTTTGTATGTACTCTCATGTGCTCTACTAGAGTACCTTTCTGAGAGAAGGCCTTGCTGCAAATCTCACAGCTGAATGGCTTCTCCTTTGTATGTACTCTCATGTGCTCTACTAGAGTACCCTTCAGAGAGAAGGCCTTGCTGCAAATCTCACAGCTGAATGGCTTCTCCTTTGTATGTAATCTCATGTGCTGTACTAGATTACCTCTCCGAGAGAAGGCCTTGCTGCAAATCTCACAGCTGAATGGCTTCTCCTTTGTATGTAATCTCATGTGCTGTACTAGATGACCTTTCTCAGAGAAGGCCTTGCTGCAAATCTCACAGCTGAATGGCTTCTCCTTTGTATGTACTCTCATGTGCTCTACTAGTGTACCCTTCAGAGAGAAGGCCTTGCTGCAAATCTTACAGCTGTATGGCTTGTCCTTTGTATGTACTCTCAGGTGCCTTGTTAAATGGTCTTTCCGAGGGAAGGCCTTGCTGCAAATCTCACAGCTGAACGGCTTCTCCTTTGTTAATGTTGATCTTTCTCTTTTGTGAGAATTTCTTGCCATATACTTCACATGCAAAACTTTTCAATGTAGCTTCCACTTTTGGCTGTGTATCCTGCTTAAGACTTTCAATGTGTATCGCCTGATCACAATCTGATGAAATCTTATTCAGAGAATTCTCAGCCACAAATGGCGCTCTTAACAACACGCCATTACGATCATCATCCAACTTACACGTGTTCTTCGCATTTGATTTATGTTTTAATTCATCGAGATTATGAAAGAAGAGACATTTATGTTTCACTTTCTCGTCGTTCACCTCATCCCTCTCTTTATCTGCATAATCAAACGGTTCTTCTTTAATTTCAATACAAGTATCCTCGGAAATATCTTCGCTGAGCTCTTCTTTGATACTGACTCCTGTGCCATAAATTTCCTTGTCCGTGAGTGGGGCCAAAGGCATCCAGCCGGCGAAGATATTCATCGTCATCCTGTGAATGGAACGTATGCCAAGTAAAAAAAAATATAATAATGTTGATAATGAATATGATCATGAACGAATTTATATTACTTATTATAACAGTAACGATAATTACAATAAAAAGACAATTCATTCAATAACATATCCCTGCATGATTACTTACAGCAAAAACGTAATGAATAATTATGATATAAATATATGTATGTAAAGCAAACACTCTTCTATATACTTATCTGTGTGAAATTGTTAAAAATCAAGGGTAACAACACTGATAGTGTCGTGATCTACAAAGTTAACTTCGACCCTTGTACGAAATATTTGGGCTGCCACCACCTGGTTAATTCGTCCAGGAACGTATGTGTCATGTTCGGAAAGTGAGAGGCATGTAGAAGAGTGTAGATAAGTTAAAAGAAAGCAAGTGTAAGTGTGTAGAAAGTACGAAGGTTCGAGGGTCAACACTGGTTAGCGTGAATAAGGCCGAGATGGAGTGCGTGACGATTGTGCAGACTATGGTATCAAGAAGTTAAATCTATTTACTTTAAAATACTTGGACACGAAGGGGAAACATAATGGAGTCTAAAAAAAACAGTAAATACATTTCACACAAAAATTTATTCAAAATATAAATCTTAGTTCCAAGACAATTAAAAAATAGAGAATCACCCTCCCCATATTCCAAACACAGGTGGGAATAAAAGCTCAAGACAAACTGACGTTAAAAAAAAGAACCCTAAACTTCAAACACGTAAATGTGAACTGGTAAAAAAGATTAGAAAAGAGAACACTGAACATTAAAATTAAATGCGAAAAAAGTAAATGAACTCTAAAAGGAAGACTGAACAGCAAAGATAAAAAGAGCACATCACCTCATTAAAAAGAGCGAAAAAAGTAAAAAGATGCCATCTTACCGCCTCTTACTACGTAAAACCTCACGACCAGGGACCCAACGCCTCCCGGCTAAAAGATGCTCCAAAAACCCCCCTTGACCTGGCCATTCGGGATCTATATATAACCCTCCCAGCAAGCATGAGTAAAAAAATGAGGTGAATCTCGGGTCAAACCAGGTGAAGGTCGCGTAACTGTTAAGAGATGGCGGTGTCTTACCCTCTTAATAAAATGCCGTTTCCCCCTTAAAAAGACTGCTTGATTTAAAAAGACATCTCAAAATATGTTAAAGGGTTATTAAAACTTTAATAGAAAAAGAGTAGGAAGATTATCTGATCCACCATGAGGCAGAATGTGCTCTTTTGTGCCGTTTAGGTAACAGAAAACGAGAATAAAAATACAATTCAATATAATTCACCACATAAAAACAATTACACCATAAAAACACATGCAACAACAATTTCTGCAATTTCCCCCCCCCCAGCTCCCCAGACACGAGTCATCCACGGGCATGGGCGGTCTTATTTGTTTTTCAGAGGGGAGACTTTCCTTCGATTCCTCCGCCACTTGGCTGGAGATTCACTACAACACCTCCCCACCAAAGTCCGTTAACTTCAGTTGGCGGACTCAATCTGCAAGTCGAGAAAATGGCCAGAGACTTCTGAAAAGAGAGGATACATTAGTAAAAGGTCTTACATAGACGGACATCTTCGTCCTTTTCTCAACTCTTAATAAGGGTAGATGTGCACAACCGAGAAGTAAAACTCCAGAAAACGAAGATCAAAAATCTGCGACAAACTCCCCACAGGAACAAGGTGCTACTGGCCAAATTCTCAGAGACCTTACTCTACCACATCATCAGGATCCACTTCAGACTCAATGTCGGACTCAGGGTACGCAATCTCCCTTGAAGGAACATATGGGCGCATCTGGTTAAGGTGATAATTGACCTCTGTGTACGGTGGGTCAGGCTCACGGACCATGTAGTTTACTGGCCCAATCTTCTTGACGATGCGAGCAGGTTTACTCCATCTTGGTCCCAATGCTCTGGCCGAACCACCTGGGCGAGCGAAGTTCCGGAGCAGGACAAGATCCCCTTCTGCAGGGTCAAACCTCTGCCGTACCCGGCGGTTGTAATCTCGGGCCCATCCTCGTTGGGCCTTTCGTGCCGCTTCCTTCGCAGTTAGTCTCGCATCTCTGAGGCTTGCTCTCAATATTTGGGCCGTTTCTTCATCAGTATCCTGCTCATTGGTTAGTCCTTGTGGGAAATAGCCATCCTTCCCAGTGAGGAGATACAAAGGCTGCTGACCTACGCTTCTGTGCACTGCACTATTAAGGGCAAGTCGTACGAAGGGTAGCATCTCATCCCAGCTATCAGGATACTCTCCAACCAGTGTAGCTAATGCATCCTTCACTACCCTGTTGCTCCTCTCTATCATCCCATTGGCCTCTGGATGATACCGTGTTGTGTAGTGAGTTCGGGTCTGGATTATCTGGCACACCTGGGAAAACAGACGATTATGAAACTCTCGTCCATTATCCGCCACCAACAAACGGGGTGGACCAAATAGTGTAACATACTCTTTTATAAATGCATCAGCCACAGTCTGTGCCTCCTTGTTTGGCAGGGGAATTACCTGCAGGTATCTTGTAAAGTGATCAATGATGGATAAGACGTACCTATTGCCTCTTGCAGATCCCATCAAATCTATCAGATCCACCGATACCCTTTCCATTGGCTGAGAGACTTCAGGCATGGAAGCTAGTGGGGCTCTTCTTCCAGCGCGGCCTTTCCTACGTTGGCACACTAGGCAGGAATTCACATACTTCTTGGTCTCAGCCAGCATTTGGGGAAAGTAGTAATGATCCCTGAGACGACAGTAAGTTCGGAAGATTCCGGGATGAGCAGAGGCCGCATCTGCATGGATAGCCTCCAGAGCCTTGGTCCGCAGAGTACGTGGAATTACCAGCTGATTGACAACCCTTCCTGGAAGCACCCGGAGATGGTACAATAGGTTGTCCCTCATCTCGAACTCCTCAAGGTTGAGTGGGATCCTGCGTTGGGGTATCCTCTGTTCCTGAAGGTAGCCACGAATCTCACTCCACAATGGATCTTCCTGTTGAGCAGCAGCCACTGTCTGGGGATCCAATATCTCATCAATTGGGGAAATCTTACGACTCAATAAATCTGGCACATAATGTGATGCACCAGGTTTGTATATTAATTGATAGTTATAAAAGGAAAGTTCATGGCTCCAACGAGACATGCGCAAAGACTTTGTCTTTCGAGAAAACACATGAACAAGAGGACGGTGATCAGTCACAATGACAAAAGGCCTACCGTATAGATAAGAATCGAAGGTTCTTACTGCTTCTACCACCGCCAGAGCTTCCACATCAATAGTTGGGAACTTGTTCTCTCCCTGCCGCAGTTTCCTGGAAAAGTAGGCTACAGCACAAGGTTTACCTTGGTCATCTCTTTGTATTAAGCAGGCACCAATCGCCACACCAGAGGCGTCACAATGCACCTCAAAGGGACGGTCGAAATCTGGTTGCCTAAGGATCGGCTCTGAAGCTAGCTTTTGTTTCATGGCTTCAAAGGCTGCTTGCTGCTCTGAACACTGAACACCTTGACGTGTCGTCGAAAGAACCCAGTGGCTCCCAAAAACTGGCGCACTTGCTTCACTGTCTGTGGGGCAGCCATTTGCATAATGGCCTTCACCTTGTCTGGATCTGGAAGGACTCCATTTGGTGTTATTAAATGACCCAAAAACTTGAAGGATCTCACTGCAAATTTACATTTTTTTAGATTAAGCCTGAATCCTGCCTTAGCTAACAGACCCATAGTCTCATCAAGATGCTGGAGGTGTTCATCAAAGTTCCTAGAGGCCACAACAACATCATCCAAGAATGCGAGGGTGTGTCTTCCCAAGACTGGGTGTAGTACTGCGTTAATGGCTCTCTGGAAAGTAGAAGGGGCTGTAGCCAGGCCAAATGGCATTCGCTTAAACTGAAAAAGACGACAACCATCAGTAAATGCAGTCTTTTGCCGATCGTTTTTATTGACCTCCACTGTCCAATAGGCAGACTTGGCATCTAAAGCCGTGAACCAGTGAGTGCCTGCTAGTTTGTCTATAGTTTCATCAAGTCTGGGCATTGGGTAAGTATCCGATCTTGTGATTTTGTTAAGATTACGAAAGTCTATACAAAACCTTATACCTCCGTCCTTCTTTCGCACCAGGACCACAGGAGAGAGCCACGGCGAAGTAGAAGGCTCAATTATTCCATCACGTAACATAGTTTCACATTCTTGTCGTATGGTATCACGTGCGCTTTCCGGTAATCTCCACTGTCGGGTACGGATAGGTCCATCTGAAGTTATAATATGATGGTTAATATCTGGTATACAACCTAAAGGGGCATCTTCATCAAAGAGGTTAGAATGTCTCTCCAAGATCCTTAATAACATCCCACATCTCACTGTCCCTAAATGTTCCAGGTTCTCCTTTGGAATTATTCCTTTCACGCCCGAAGGAGTTTCAATGTTACATACGTCCATGCTTACCGGTGGAAAGATATCAAAGTCACCACGTGAATAACCAAAGTCACCAACACCATAGCGTTCATCAAATTCATCGGTGAAGTCCTCCCATGCCACCTTATCACTATGCTCAGCATCACCTGGAATATTTACAGAGTCATTATATGAATACACACTATCAATTTCTGATACACTTGCCAATTTCATTCCCATTTGCAAAGTCACTGGGTGAGTCTTATCATTAATTATCCACACAGAAGCACTATCATTGTTCACTGCTATTACAGTCCTGGGAACCAATACCCTTGCAGTCTTTACTTGCACAAATCCATATGGGTGTGTGAATTCCCTGGATAACATTGTCTTCACAAAACATCCCGACTTGGGTGGACAGATCATGGTTTGAGTCACTAATAATACAGAACACTGGGGTTCAATTACATTCTGAGGTTTACATGCTAAATTTATAGTTCTAATACCTAGAGAGGTGAGATCAGAAAACCA